GTTGTCTGCTCACGGTAAGCAGAGATAAGCAATCTGATCGGTTGATGCTTTGGGGCATGATCACTTTAGTTTTGATTAAGTGAGAGTAATGAAACGCAGAGTATAGATTCATTATATCATTACCTTGACTAAGTTCGATGATGAGAATTTTCTGCTGAGACTAAGGAGCGATAAGCAATTTTATTGGTCAAGACTTTGGAAGATAACAACTCTGCTTTTAATTGAGGTAGAATGTTTAAACTTGATGTATATGTTCATTAGGTGAATGTCTTGACTGAGTTCAATGATTAACTTTTCAAGCTAAAGCTAAGCAGAGCTAAGCAATTTCATTGGTCGATGCTTTGGGACAAGATAACTTTGATTCTATCTGATAGAGCGTGATGAAACTTAGTGTATAGTTGATAATCACTTTGATTGCTTGATACTTTTGAAAAAAATAAATGTGCTATTAATTAATATGTGTCATCTATTTATTTTGGGATTTTGGTGGCGGGACATCAGCCTCACTGTTGGCTTGTTATGTCAAGTATTCCTTGTATTGTATTCTTGAATTAAGTTTGTGCATGATAAAACACAAAATACAGAATTTGAGAATAGGATAGAAGTTGTTCTTGCCCCAAGCAGGGTTGGATGGCTGAATGGTTAGCTTGTGTGTCTTGTATCATAAGGTCTGTCATTGAGTCAATTGGCGTGGTTTCGATTCCCTGGTTGTACATGACAAGGAGTAGGGTCGCTTGTCCAACCTAGTGGGTTTTCTCCTGGTCCTCCGGTTTCATCCCACTGCTAAAGACCACTATGCGCAAGCTAATTATTGAAATAAAATTGAACCATATAATAGTCCCATAATTATCTTTTTTTGTGTCAAGTGGACGTTAAACCCCATTTCCCACTCAGTTTCCCCAAAATATTTTGAATTTTTATACGCCCACATTGAAATGTGGTCGTACAATGTATATTGTCGTCGCCCCCGTCCGTCCGGCCGGCCGGCCGGCGTCCACAATAGCTTGTGGACGCTCTAGAGGCCAAAGTTAATATCCGATTGACCTTAAATTTGTACACAGTGTTTAAGGTCTTGAGACGAAGAAGCCTATTGATTTTCAGCGATTTCCGATAATTACTGCCAGAGTTATGGCCCTTGATCACTTCAAAACATCTTGTGGACGCTCTAGAAGCCAAAGTTAATATCCGATTGACCTTAAATTTATACACAGTGTTTAAGGTCTTGAGACGAAGAATCCTATTGGTTTTCAGCGATTTCCGATAATTACTGCCAGAGTTATGGCCCTTGATCTCTTCAAAAAATCTTGTATACGCTCTAGAAGCCAAAGTTAATATCCGATTGACCTTAAATTTATACATAGTGTTTAAGGTCTTGAGACGAAGAAGCCTATTGATTTTCATCGATTTACGATAATTACTGCAAGAGTTATGGCCCTTGATCACTTCAAAAAATCTTGTGGACGCTCTAGAAGCCAAAGTTAATAACCGATTGACCTTAAATTTATACATAGTGTTTAAGGTCATGAGACGAAGAATCCTATTGATTTTCAGCGATTTCCGATAATTACTGCCAGAGTTATGGCCCTTGATCACTTTGAAAAATCTTGTGGACGCTCTAGAGGCCAAAGTTAATATCCGATTGACTTTAAATTTATACACAGTGTTTAAGGTCATGAGACGAAGAATCCTATTGATTTTCAGCGATTTCTGATAATTACTGCCAAAGTTATGGCCCTTGATCACTTCAAAAAATCTTGTGGACGCTCTAGAGGCCAAAGTTAATATCCGATTGACCTTAAATTAATACACAGTGTTTAAGGTCATGAGACAAAGAATTCTATTGATTTTCAGCGATTTCCGATAATTACTGCCAGAGTTATGGCCCCTGATCAATTTGAAAAATCTTGTGGGCACTCTAGAGACCAAAGTTACTATCTGATTGACCTTAAATTTATACACAGTGTTTAAGGTCATGAGGCGAATGATAATTACTGCCAGAGTTATGGCCCTTGATCACTTCAAAAAATCTTGTGGACGCTCTAGAGGCCAAAGTTAATATCCGATTGACCTTAAATTTATACACAGTGTTTAAGGTCTTGAGACAAAGAAGCCTATTGATTTTCAACGATTTCCGATAATTACTGCCAGAGTTATGGCCCTTGATCACTTTGAAAAATCTCGTGGACGCTCTAGAGGCCAAAGTTAGTATTCAATTGACTTTAAATTTATACACAGTGTTTGAGGTTATGAGACGAAATATCCTATTGATTTTCAGCAATTTCTGATAATTACTGCCAGAGTTATGGCCCTTGATCAATTTGAAAAATCTTGTGGACGCTCTAGAGGCCAAAGTTAATATCTGATTGACCTTAAATTTATACACAGTGTTTAAGGTCATGAGACAAAGAAGCCTATTGATTTTCAGCGATTTCTGATAATTACTGCCAGAGTTATGGCCCTTGATCACTTTGAAAAATCTCGTGGACGCTCTAGAGGCCAAAGTTAGTATTCAATTGACTTTAAATTTATACACAGTGTTTGAGGTTATGAGACGAAATATCCTATTGATTTTCAGCAATTTCTGATAATTACTGCCAGAGTTATGGCCCTTGATCACTTTGAAAAATCTTGTGGACGCTCTAGAGGCCAAAGTTTATATTCGATTGACTTTAAATTTATACACAGTGTTTAAGGTCATGAGACGAAGAAGCCTATTGGTTTTCAGCAATTTCCGATAATTACTGCCAGTGTTATGGCCCTTGATTTTCAACAATTTCTGCTCTAAAGGCTAAAGTTATCACCCGATTGACTTCAGATTGATACACAGAGTTTAAGATCTTGAGACAAACAAGTTATTGATTTTCAATAAATTTTTATGACTTGAACAGCTAAATCCACGATATTAAAAGTTTTGTATACCAAACGTTAGCATGGGGCAGAACTTTATAAAAAACAAACAAATTCTAATGGTTTTCTGATAATTACTTCATGAGTTGTTGCTCTTAATCAGATTTTAGTGTATTATAAATGTTTCATTACCGAAAAAAGTAAGAATATGCGACAACTCTTGTTGACTGCCCGGACGATTTAGCTGCTGTGGGCGTATGTTTCGTTGCCTGGCAACCTATCTTTACAAGGAGTTACAGTATATGCTTGTAGCCGAAAAATAAAACTACAATTTGTTAGCACACAGACATCTGCTGAATATTTTGAATCAAAAATTTAGTTGTTTTCACTTGTCCATATACCAGGACTTCCACTTTAAAATTTTCACTGCCGGTCATTTTTGATAACCCACGAAAACTTTTCAAAGTAAATTCATATTTCATGTTTTTTATTCATGGTAGGGTATTGTGAATTCACGTTTCTATACCACTTCGTCAGTATGGGGTACACAAAAAATTATATATTGGACTTAAAAATGAAATATTAGTAAGGCTTATGATAATTATTTATTAATTAAATATTCCCTTTTGGATACTTAAATAATCGAAATAATGAATTGGCTGTAGAAAAAAAACATTCCAGTAGCTCACACGTAATTACCACATGCTCTATAGAAAACACACTGACCTGGATAATTTTGAGTTGTAATACAATAACTTCGAAATGAAGATAAATATATAATTACCCACAGCAAGTTAACTAATCTCTAGGTTTTATGTCTACAATTCCCACAAGGCAGTAATACCGCTATAAAAAAAATATAATGCATTTACGTAATTTCTATGCTGTTTTTATTTAATATGACAGTTGGTTGGATTCGAAGAGCATTACTTCATATCAATTGCTATTTTTTCGAAAATCATAATAATCTTGTTTACATCATGCGTGACCGTAATTGCGGTAAACGACTTTGTTGTAGAAAATTCTTATGATACATGGACAATATGGGGGTGCTCAAATAGTGAATGATTTACAATGGACCGCTTCAGGCCATATCGATTAACTTTCATTGTTCTACTACCAGACACTCATCATTAATTATCAACACAACACTCAGTATAATCTGTTGACGACTATGTATACAACTCTATAACACCAATCACGAGATTATGTGGCTTCTATACGTGTGCATTATTTTGTACTGGCCGTACAATTGTATAGTTACATAGTGGAGGTCGATCATAGCCATTTTTGAAAATTGGGTTTTGAAAAAAAAAAAATTCTTTTTCCGGCGTGTAAAATGACCGATGGGTCCAATCTGGTTACGGTCATTTTCCATAGACCTAGGTCTTGACTGGCATATACGGCCGACGTGGAACCCATGCCATATACTGATCCAAATAAACATAAGATCAACCCTATTAAAGATGGGTTCCCGTGTACAAACTGGTTGATTTAATGGTTTATATGGACCAAAAACATATTCAAACTAATTAATTTGTCACAATTATGCTTCAAATCCTTCTCAAACATTGTAATTGCGAAAGAATGCCCTGCTATTAAAATTCAATCAAACCAGGTCATGTTTACGTCACGTCTTGGGAGCCTGAGGAGAATTCATTGCATACATAAGACGATGTTGTCTTTAATCGCTTACTATTTATTACAAATATCGAATCCTAATTAAATTCTCGGATTATCCACAACCCGCGTCCTTTTCCGTCATTTTTATCTCAGAAAGTATTGTACGTCTAACTCTTCATAAAGTTTATCAACTTGTACATCAAGCGCTCAATGTTCGCTTGTGACCTTTGACATCACGCGTGCAGAAGTCCCTAATCGTCGGGCTGTTGATTAGGGGAACCCTTACATTTTTGTCCTGTATACGCTCCATGAATGTTTTTCGGGGAATCCAGTATTTTTCTAGTAAGATTGGATATCTCTACTTTCCATATATACCAAAATTGCCATACTTTTATTGGAAATAACCACCCGATAAATACTTTTCTGGGAACCCATCTTTAAAAACTTTATTTTGTACAAAGATAAGGTTTAGCTCCTTCAATATGTTTGTTTGCACTATATTCTTAATTTTTATTGTTTATTTTTTGCAGTTATTACTAGAACATTTAGAGTGTTTGGTATCAAGACACGAACGATCTCTAAGAATGACTGTGGTCAAACGACAAGCAACATCACCAGCTGGTGTTTCTAGTGAAGTTGAGGTGCTAAAAGCCTTAAAGTCATTATTTGAACATCATAAAGCCCTGGATGAAAAGGTAAGGTTCTATAAATATTTTAATGGGAAATGTGAACATTCAATTCTTTTACTGAATTTAACTCCTTATTTATAGAAAACTTAAATCTTATAAATTTGATTTTAACTTAAAATTATCTATTGTTTCTTAATATTCATCAAAATCAATATTTTAAAGCCTCTGTTTTTTTTATCATGAAATGTCTCACTAATCTTTAAATAAATGAAATTGAATATTCACATAGTTTAGCATGCAATTTCAGGAAAATTACAGACAAGTAATCAAATGTCAAATTTTTTGTTTCTTTTAATTATCTTTTTGTATTGTTTACATGTACAGTAAGGTCTAACAATGTTCGTCTTTAAGGAGTTCAAGTTCAATTTACTTCACATGATCTGTCATCTAGCCGGTGAACAGATGCTTTGAAAATTTTGTTTAAATTACTTTATTCTGAGCTCACTCCTATTTTTTATGCCCACATTTTTCATGTGGATGCATATTGTCGGTGTGTCCGCCTGTCCACAATTTTGACGAAACTTGAAATATTTATCTCCAAAAGATCTTGGTTCCTTTCGATATTGGCATGCATCGTATCACAGGCATCTGACCTTCTAATCGTATATAAGCATACACCATACCGAACTAGACAATAATATAATCCAAAAAGAACAGGAATGCAATGCCTGTTGAAGCCTCGATTTTACCTGCTCTAGCTTCGGCTGGGGTTTTTTTCTCAACAATTCGTAATGTCAGACAATCAAACCTCTTGTTGATTCACTGAGATATGTTTTTTCTTCAATCTAGCCATTTTGATTTGCATAAATACTCCCCACAAAACGAATCATAGCCACTTGTTTCCAATAATTACATTATGGTGTATGCATATATACGGATAGAAGGTCAGATTCCTGTATTCGGATTGAAACTTTATTGATTATCGCCCCTGATTGTACGAAAAATCACGATTTTAGCTTGTGGATACTCTAGAGGTCACAAGTTTTATCCGAATTAGATGAAACTTGAAATGTATGTTTATAACCCAAAGATTTCGGCTCCTTTCGATATTCGTGCATATTGGACCCCAACTTCCTGGATTATGGCCCCTGATTGTTTTAGCTTGTTTTAGCTTGTGGTGTCTTTAGAGGTCACAATTTTTATCGGATTTAAAAAAAAAACATTCAAATATATCACTGTTACACCATAATGAAGATTGATTTAGAATTTCTTCAAAATCGAACCAAAACTACCCGACAAAATGGCTGCTCCTCATATGCAAATAGTGTAAGAGTATGGTATACCAAGTTTGTGGACCCTTTAGAAGTCACAATTGTTATCCGATTTTAATGAAACTTTAAATGTATGTTTATAACCCAGAGATCTTGGTATCTTTCGATATTCGCACATATCGGACTGTAACTTCCTGGATTATCGTCCCTAATGTGTACAAAAAATCACATTATTTTTTTAGCTCGTTCTCTGTCCATCTCTTGCAAAATGTTGGCGTTTCTTGCATGGCAACTGTGTCTTAAATTAAATCATTAAATGGCCGAACCATTCTAATTTAGTTAAAATCTTGAGCATCTGATGGCACTGGGAGTTGATTATGGTCTTGTCACGTTAATAAATGTCTAATCGATAATTTATATAACATTTAAGAGCTGGCAGTTCTCACTATAATAGTTAAAAACTCGATAATGTAAACACAATTTGCTGAAAATTTCCGTCAAATTGATCCACTCTGAACCGAGAATTTAGCGATTGAATTTTCGACCTAGCCTCAATCATCATTTCTAAAGTCGGTACGATAAAAAACATAGTCTTGATTAAATCATGAATGAAAGTTGAGCAACAAACCAGATACTATTCCAGTAAATATCGCAGGCTAGCGATGACATCGAGAGTTGATTATGGTCTGGATAAGTTAATTAATAATTTAGATAACATTTCAGACTTGCAATATTCAGATTTAGCTCTTGTAAATGTATGTTTAAATGACTTGCCTAAAAATAACAATATAGCATTAAAGATGTTAGATCATAAAATAAGGCATCGATAAATACAGCCACAAAATAGTGATTCTTTTTGCAATACAAACAGTATTTTATTTCTTCAGGTGTCTTTAAAGATAATTCCCGGGTACAAACTGGGTGATTTGATGATATATTTGGACTAAAAACATATTCTATTTAATTAATTTATCATAATTTTGCTTCAAATCCTTCTCAAAACATTGCAATTGTCAGGGAATACCCGGCTATAAAAACTCTATCAAAAGAGGCCATGTTTGTGTCATGTGACACAACGGGTGCGATGTCGGAGGAGAATTCATTGCATACAAAAGACGATGTTGCCTTTATCGCTGACTATTTATTACAAATATCGAAGCCTAATTAAATTCTCGGATTATCCACTTCCCGCGTCTTTTTCCGTGATTTTTATCTCAGAAAGTGTTGTACGTCTAACTCTTCATAAAGTTTATAAACATGTACATCAACGCTCAATCTCCGCGTGCAATCTTCAACATCACGCGTGCAGACACTCCTAATCGCCGGGCTGTCGATTAGGGAAACCCGTACATTTTTTGTCCTGTATGCGCTCCATGAGTGTTTTTCAGGGAATCCAGTATTTTTCTAGTAAGATTGGATATTTCTACATGTACTTTCCATATATACAAAAATTACCATACTTTTATTGTAAATAACCACCCGATAAATACTTTTCTGGGAACGTAGCTTTAAAAAATTTTAAAGTTAATAACTAGATGTGTTCATTGCTTAGGATAAAATTATAGACAATAAAACAGCATTAGGAGGGTTTTTTTTTTTTTTTAAGTCTGTTAATAAATGCTGTTAGCCTTCCTGACAAAAAGAAACTGTTGACATTTCTGTGTCTGAAATTCGATTGTGATTTCTGTGTGTGTGTGAAAAACTGCTCTCTTTATCTCCAATGACCTTCAAACTCTGCAAAAGGGAAGGAGTCAAGCATCGAGAATCGGTTGGCATTTGATTCAACTAATGTGACCTCTATTACATAAAAGTTATAATCTATGGAAGAGCATAATTCCCTGACGTCCAGTCCATGATAATCTACTAATTACCCGCAAACCATCAAATCAATACAATAATAATGACGATTTATAACCTAAACCATTGTTCACCATGTTATGCAAGTATTTGGGCCATTTCTATAAATATTTCACCCAAATGTACCTAATTGATTTTGTAATTTTGCTACATATCAATTCTTCATGCAAGCCATGGTTTAGTATCTTGATTGACATCAGTATATGTTAATGGTTCCCAATGAACCGCTCCATACACTCTATTACCTATTGATGTTATATTGTGAACTGTAGTTAACACTTCAGCAAGTGATGTAGAGGAGCTAATTATTCATGTCCATCTGTTATCATCTTGTCTAACAGTCTGTAATGTTTGATCTCTGGTACCACTTGTAGTGTAACCATCAGATAAATAAACCATTGTTTCAGACAGCTCAATTGCTAGACAGAATTCGCCACTACTTTGTACCACAGATACTTTAAACAAATGTTTATTTTAACACTCTGGGCTACTTGACTATCAGCTTAGAAGGGTTTATAACTTATGCCATACGGAAATGGGTTAATACCATTGTAGTAATAACGAGTCTTCAATCAAGGATCCTATCAGCCATTATTAAAACAGTAAATTGAAAATTGCTGTCCTTCAATAATGAAGATTTGAAAACATATGATATTCCAATGTTGGTCATTCGGATGGTACAAACAAAATGAGGTCCTGTGTACATATTGGCATGTAGTAAAAGATACCTTGACAGTTGGAATTCGATATGAGAATAGACTGCATATGCCCAGATGCCCAGTTGAAGCAGAATTGTAGGGTGTTATACCCCATTTCATTTCATATGATATTTAGATGTTAAAATATTGGTATGTTCATTTTATAGGCTTGGGATTCATAGACTAGTTTTGATGATGATTCCCTCTCATATTAATTCAGATAGTTTTTGGCATTTATTTTCAAAGATCATTCAAATCCACTTTGAAATTATGATATTAAGTATGTTATTAAAATCTCAAGTCAAAAATCGAGAAAATCTGTATCAACTCTTCAAATGACTTAGTTGCTGGTGGGCATTTGTTTCACTTCCTGGCAGTCTATGTTAGTTTTGTCATCAAGGTGGTATTGTTAACAAGGGAGTGTATGCTTACTTTTTTCTGAACACCTTACATCACTTTCGACTCGTCTTACCCATTACACACGAAAATGATGCCTGTCATGTCAGTTTGTATTCATCTTGATATTTGGGGTTTGTGGAATTTTTTGTGTAGTCGTGAAGGGCATAGCCACTTAAATTACCACACTGATCAGCAGTGAATATTCGCTAGGCCGCTGCAGTCACTGATAAGGATGACATCAATGTGACTTAATTTAATGAGTCCCCAATATTAACTTTTTTCCTCCGACAAATTAAATTCTAAAACTTTTTTTTTTATGTATTGAAAAAATAAATAAAGACATTTGAAGTATTTGTAGATAAAAAATATTTCCTATTTAGTGTAAATGGGTATTAAAATGAGTAAAAGGCACCATTTTGCCCGAACGAGTTACATCTTATGCAAACAATGCACGCGCCATTGAGCCATTGATTGACGCCGCATGATGTGATTGCACGTGTTGATGACTTTTACAGAGATATTAGAAGACTTTCATAATTCTCTGTGAAACAGATTGTTAAATTACCTGTCTCTATTGTTGTGTGTTGTTGGGCATGAAGTGTACTACCTGTAATCAATGGTCTTTTATTTTTAACCAACTCCTAATAACTGCTAAAGCTGAACTAATTTTCAGCCGGACATTTCAGATTTTCAGGCGGACAAATACTTTATATGGTACATGTATATTATACCAAACAACTGTTAAAATTTATTATGTTTAATCTTTATTATGGTACTGTATTTTTCGGGGTACAAGTCGATACTTATTTACGCGGAAGTCAGGCCTTTGCCTTATACTCCA